CTTTATGCACAGTTATTAATTTTTAATTTTTATTTTACCTTTCTTTCTTTTGTATATTTCTGATTAAACCTGTTTTCCACATCTTATAACTGAGAATAACAGCCAGGTGGGGAGGAGGACACCTGTAATCTGTCTTCAGTTCATCTCAGACCTCAAGTGGTAACTCTGAACCACCTGAGTCCTCTGGAGCAGTCTGAACTTTTCTGGAGAGTAAGAGAGATTCTTAGACTTAAGAATTTTGATAACTGACACTTACACTTAAGTCTGAGAGTAGGAGCAAATCTAAGAAATTTTCAGCACTACAGTTTAAAAACCCACTCTAAGAAGTTTGATAAGTACGGGCCCAGGTCTTTAAAGAAGGCTAAGATCATTTTTGATCATTGAGAATTCTCCGTTTACCTTCAGAACTGACAGACAGACTGCCCTACTGTTAGTCAAACAGACTGAAAAAATATTTAGTTCCWGCTGCAGCTGGCCTGATTCATCCCAGGCCTATATTGTAAGAGCTAATRTGGAATATATGTGTGAGTTTTTCTCTTCTTTTCTTTTTCCACTGCTGTCTGCACAACAAATTGCCTTTCAGGGGCAATAAAGTTGACAGGAGTCAGTGTGTGTCAGTGGGGAGAGGCAGGTCTGGGTTTCTCTCCTGCACCTGCTGCCTCTGAGCCGACCACAGATCAGGTGACTGACAGGATCTGTCTTTGTTCTCCTCGTATTCTCAGTGAGAAAACACTGAAGGAACTGAAATGTACCTGTTGCATCACATCTTCCTGGTGAGGATCTAAACTACTCAACATCTCATCGTGGCTGTCTGACTCTTATCCTGGRCTCAGCTCATCAGTCCAAAAACAAAACTCTGGATTTGTGCTTCAACTGTCAAAACAGTTTTWAACGTACCTGTTCACGTAACCCTTAAGTATATGTTAGTTATTTAAGTGTGGAAGTCAAATATTTGGTACTACAAGAAGCCAGAGTTATAAAAAGTTTAAAATTACACAGCTCTTTTAATAATCTTAATAATCTCCTTCATTTTGTACAACTAAAAAATGGCTTTTAAAAAGAAAACTCGTGTCTCAGTGACGTGGTTTCACCATGCAGACAGTAAGTACCGAGGTCGGCTTGGATTTCAGCACCCATCTGTGGAAAATTAAACTAACAAACCGTGGTGGGAACCAACCCAAGCAGGAGGATCTGTACTGTAACTTATACAGATAAGAGCTTTTTTTTTTTGTCTGTGGACAGACTTCAGCTGCAGCCGCCGGTCCACAGACAGTCTGAGGAGACTGAATGTTTCCTGTCCCACAGTGGAAACTCTGGAGCCCCAAAGGTTCAAGTTTAAACAAAAAGACTGAAGAACTGACCGTAAACTCTGCACAGTCATTGTAATGTCATCACTAATTTTCACAATATTCAGATTTTTTGTCTGAACTCTAAGCAGTGTGGTCTGTTTTCTGATACAGGGACTTTTTAATGTGCCGCCTGCACTGCATCTTTACAGGTTTTACTGGAAGAAAATGATTCATTTWTGGCCTCATTATTGTACATAAATAAGATGGATTCTCTGTTTTATATCTAGGGTTTAGTGCTGGACGGTTATGACCGAAATTTTATATCACGGTATTGTCAACATTTACACCGGTTTCACGGTATTTTTCTTTTCATCACAGGCCAGCTGGTAACAAAATGTACAAAAACTGCTTATTAACGTTTTTCTTTTACTGTACCTCCTGTCTGTGTCGTTGTTTCCCTCCTCTAAACATCTTTTCTTCTCCTCCTCCTGGTTGGAGACAGTAATAATGCATTTTGGTCCGGTCGTGAAGGAGGAAGGTTAAAGGGATCCCCGATTAGTTGTAACTTTATTTAATAAAAAAATATTTTAACTGTAAAATAAAGACTGTAAAAACACTGTAGGATGTTTAGTTTTTATAATTTTTAAACTAAAATTTAAAAATATATTACACGGACAGGGCCATTTTATTTACATGCAAAGCTTTCTGGGTAAATGATGATGTCAACTAGGTCATCGGTGTGAGGCTGTTAGCGAGCTATATCCACCCTGAAGGTTAATCTTGGACAATATCTGATGATCGACTCTTTTAAATGAAACCAGAGAGCGTTGACAGAGAGGAGAAGGTAGAAATGACTCAGCCTGTGACTTGTAGGGGTCACCCTGGTGAAAAAAAACTTTTCTATTGTTTTTTCTTTGTCTTTGACTTTATTTTTTTACAC